CCTGCATCTTCTGGCTGAGACCAGACTCATCTGGCCTGCAGCTGTCAGCATACGTTCCATGAGCCTGACCCCAGCTGGGGGCATCCAGATGAAGCCTGAATCCAGTCTGAGTTCTGATCTCAGCTGGCCCCTCTCCAGGATCATTCCTGGCCAACAGCTCTCTCATGTGGTAGAACTGAGCCCTCAGCACTCACTGCCGGCTTTTGCAGTCCTTCACATCCACTGCTCTTCTCTATTGCTGTGTCTCTCCATGGAGGTTTCTGGGGTCACCAGCAGCTACCACATGTCTACAAGTTTGAATTATTCCTCTTATGCAGTGAGTCCCATCTTAGGGAGAAGGCACCACCGGCTAACTCCCTCTTCATTGAAGTTTCTTCACTCTCTGTGGGCTTCAATTTGCACTTCAGACCCTTCCTGGATCCAGGGGACCCACGTCCCTCCTTCTTGTCTTTCTCATTGTTATATTCCAGTGTCTGGACAGTAACACTCAGACAGGGTCTTGGTCTTCTGCTTACCACACCACCATCTTGGTGCTTCTCCAAAAATGTTATTACGACAGATTTCTAAAATTGTATACCGTGCAAAATTCAAGGAAGATTTAGAAATACTCTACAAAGTACAATTTTGAGGCCAAGTTAGTTTTGGGAAATGCTGACCACATATCAAATCCCAACTGTTGAATGAGCCGACTTTAAGACATTTATGTAACTGGAACTGGAGATAATCTAGGAGATTATGTGGTCTAACAATCCTTTCATAGATGAGGAAGTTGAAGTTCAACAACTCTTAACTTGAAATATACCGCTGAATGTTCTTTCTGCTGTACTAGGGCAGCTGTCACTGTAGGAACACCTATGTAAGTAAAGATAAACCTCCCTAATCCTGGGCTTGGATCAGTCCTTCTAGACAACAAAACAAAGTAAAAACACAGTGCAGCAAACAACTGAGATGTCAGATTGGCTTTAAAGTGAAGTGAACGTTCTTATCTGTGTTGGGCAGGAATTTGGTGTCCAGTACAGGTTAGAACTCTCCTCGTGTTGACTTATACTTTTGGTTTAATGTTAGGACAAAGGAGGATGATGGTAACTTTGAGAAACTGGTACAGAAGATAGATGGGAAAGAGAGGAAAAAGAGATAAAAGAACAGATGAGAACAATAACCAAAAATAGGCAAGAAAGCTTGGTTATTATGGCTGATAGAGGGATAGGTCAGGCTGGACCTTTTTCCAGGTGGAATTATTAGGCATCTGCATTGTAGCAATTTATCCCATTTAAAAATAATTCCTAGGTTGAACAACTTCAGCTGCCACTACAGATTTCTATTTGATGATGGGGAACTATTGGTTGAATTCAAGGAATCTTGGAGAGTGTTTAGAGCAATAACCCAACTCTGAGAATTCCACTGATGCTGTAGGATAGTGAGGTCAACAAATCTGTGTTCAGATCTATAGTGTGACGTCTAACTAGCTGTGGACTTTTAAATGCAGCATTTAACTTCTCTGGGGTACAGTTATCTCACCCACAAAATGGGGATACTGATATCTACCCCACAGAATACATCTATTCCCTAAACTGGAGAGGAGGCTCTGAATTATTGTTTTCTTTCTTCATAATAAATTTCTTCAGTGAGTTAGTCACTAGCCAAGTTGATGCTGAAGATGTACCAAGTCAATTTTATGCCTTTTTCTTGGTCTGATTCAGGGCTGGGGATTTAGCTCAGCGGCAAAAGCGCCTGCCTGGCAAGCGCAAGGTCGTGAGTTCGGTTCCCGGTACTGGAGAAAAACAAAAACAAATAAACAACAAAAAAAAAACCATTCTTGGTCTGATTCTCCACTCTTTCCAATGCATATTTCCAATAAAAGATTGAATTTCTAGCAATCAAGAATAGTGGCCTGGGCTAAGGGTGGGAAAGGAGCTTTTGTTGTTCGGTTTCTCAAGACAGAGTCTCACTCTGTAGACCAGGCTGGCTTTGAACTCACTACCCTTTGCCCTCCACCCGTGCTGGGATTGCAGTTCTGCCCTGCAGGGAGAGTACAGTGATCCCTCACCTATTGCAGGAGTTAAGTTCCAGAGACCCCTGCGACAGATGAAAATCCACGAAGTAGCCGTGTTATATTTATTTTATTATTTATATATATTTTAAAGCTTTATAAACCCTTCCCACACTCTTATAAACCTTTCCCACTCTCTTATTAACCTTTCCCAACTGCTGGGCATAGTGACACATGCCTGTAATCCCAGCACTTGGGAGGCTGAGGCAGGAGGATAGTTGCAAGTTCAAGGTCAGCCTGGGCTACAATGTGAGTTCAAGGCCAGCCTGAACTGCATAATGAGACCTTGTCCCAACAAGACCAAAAAAAACCCAAAAAAACAAAAAAACAAAAAACCTTTCCCACACGCTTATAAACACTTTGTATGCTCTTAAACACTTTCTATACTCAAACCTATGTAATTTTAACAACATGTAAAATTCTATATGGGTACTCAATGTGAAGTGGACACGGAGAGATGCTGAAGGTATGGGCACAGAACGGGAGAGCAAACAGACCCATGCTTTGGTCACTGAGCCAATCAGTGCCCAGGATACAGAACGCAGTGCTGTGATTGGTAACCTTCCATTCCATCAGCCAATAGTGTGCCCTGTACAATCTCATGTTGGCAAACTTGCATAAGTGGTAGTGGCCTACTGCATTTCCATTGTATACACTATGGTATTCATCCACTGATGAAATACATACTGTATTTTATTTTGATTTAATATTCTTTTAATATGTGTGAATTAACATTTTTAATATATTTTTATATTTGAAACTTTTTAGGCAAAAATAAAAATAAATATTATATAAATATATACCTCAAAATCCTGCGATATAGCAAAAACTGATACAGAATTAGATATTTCTTTTAAAAACCTGTAATATTTTTTTCTTTTTTTGCCTTTTTTTGAGACAGGATCTCGCTATGCATTTCAGACTGGGCTTGAGCTCACTTTGTAGCCCAGGCTGGTCTCGAAATTGCAACGACCCTCCTGCCTCAGCCTCCTGAGTGCTGGGATTACAGGTGTGCGCCACCACGCCCGGCTACCTATGATACACTGAAGCTGTAATAATAAGTAAACCGTGATATAGCGAAGGATGAAGGCAGCTGGGGCACGTTCTCAAAGGGGACAGGAAAGAGGCCAGGGAGCCATAGCAGTCACATGGCAGGGGCAAGGGATGAACAGCAAGGTGTCATTGGCAGGCTTTGTGGCTTGTCCAGGGAGGCCAGGTCCCTACCATAGTCAGGAATTGTGAACTCCAGAAAAGAGAGCCATTTGCCATTAAGTGTCATGAGAGGTGACAACAGGAGTCTTCCTCAATTTCCCAAAAGGCAATGTAAGTCTCTGATGTGGGTGTGACCCTCAGAAGACTTTACTGATAACAGAGGGATTTTCTCATCAAACTACAGAGAGGTAGAGTTCAAATCAGGACTAACTGCATCCAAACAATATTTAAAAGTTTTCAGACTCTGAGTCGCAGGAGTAATTTTTTGATGTTGGTAAAACTGAGCAAAACAATGCTTTTAAATGTAGGGAAGCAAATGTGGAACTCCACGTAGCCATCACCACTCCTGCACACTTGGCTTCAGACTCAAGGCCCCTCCTCCGGCCGCGTGGTGTCACTGCTGTGCGACTGTGAGATCCGTCCTTCCGTGTACCCCTCTGCAGGGGCCACGTAAGAGGCAGCGGCAGACTGAGCCAGCACGTGTGCACAGGTCACTGATGGTGTGGAGGGGTGACTGCCTCTCAGCAGAGTAACAGGCAAAGAAGCAACGTTGATTTTTCATACCAGTTAATGCCGAAGTTCATCCAGGTACTAATTTCTGACGAGTGTTCTGGGAGCTAAGACATGTTTACTGGGGACAGGGGGAAAGCTCAGTTCACGTTGGTGTCCACTGAACCACCCTACTCGGGTTTCCTACAGGTTTTCCCATCACCCGCTTAAATGGCAAGCTGCTGCAGGCATAGCTGATCAAATGCATAAACCCTTAAATCTGTCTCTCGCTCAGAAAATCTGTTTCTGACTCAACAGCTTACTGTGTTAGGCTTTTCACCTTCAAGAGTCATTCTCTGGTAACAGGATTGGGCTAAGTAAATCTGTGACTTCTGCAGCGACTCAAGCCCAGAGTGTTACCGGAGTATGGCTGGTGAGGGGACAGGAACCGTAGTCACACTATTGAAACATAATGTTTCAGAAAGGAAAGCAAGAATTTTTGAAGTATATAGAGATTTATATCAATTAAACTCATAATGTAGTCCATGGTAACTGTATTCTGATTCTCTGTGTTAGAATAAGGTAGAGACAGAAATTAAATATGGAATGATTTTTTGCTGAGGAATCTTACATACAGTCTATAGCATAACTTGCCTTAAACAGATTACCATGATTTTTACTACCTGCACTGAGATTAATGGAATTACTTACTAAATGAACTAAGATTAGTCAGAAGGGTTTAGGGCTTCACACATTTGTTTTTTGTTTTTTTTTTTTCCAGTACCAGGAATCGAACTCATGACCTTGTGCTTGCCCAGCAGGCACTGTGCCACTGAACTAAACCCCCAGCCCCAATTGGTTGACACATGTTAAGTATTTGTTTCTGCTTAGAATCTGGATACAAATCTGTCCACATGAAGTTTCTGGACTTAAATGTACCTCATTTGCTGCATGTAACAGGGACCAGAACTGCTCTTTTATGTTTGCTGGGTGGAGCTTTCTGATACACATATCAAAGGTTTCTACTTCATGTAGATGTCTGAAATAGTCTTGAAGATTTTTTTAGTAGGAGCCAAACAACCCTACTTACTTTTTAAGATATAAGTCTGACCTTATAAACATCTTGCTGAGCTTCATTTACTACATTTTCTAGACACCTATGAAGAGCTCTGATTACATAACTGATTTTCTTCTCATTTGAAGGTTAAGCCATGTTCTGTTTAAGACACAAAAGATGGAAACACCAACATGTAGATTTGGTCCCTTTATTACGGTTGCCATTTATAAGTACATTCTCCTGGTTCTCAGCCTTAGACCTCAAAGACGCTTTTTATACTTGCAAGACGTATCCAAGTCTAGTTTCCTTGTCTGAAATGCTCGGGGTTAGAATATGAGGTATCTCTCAGGAAACTGAGGGCCGCCATGCAGGAGGAAACATTCGAGACTTATGAAATTCCCTGTGACACGTTCCTTGGTCCAGTCCTTTGTTACATTTAAAGAACTTAAAGCTTCTGATTTTGAATAGAATATAAAAGGAAATGTGAATTACATACAGTTTCAGAGCCCTTAAAAGATAACGTATCTTCACGTAAACATTTATAGAATAACATTTGCAAGCTTTTAGGTGAGCCATAAAATGTGGGGAATTATTGCTGTGAAATTGTTCTTTTTATTCATAAGAACAACTTCCAAGGTGTGTGTTTGTATTACATGAAACTAGTTTGACACCAAATAACAAGTGGTAATAAATGAGTACTGCAAGGGATCCAAAGGGTGATACTGAAGAAGAAGAATTAGGAAAAACCAAGGTAAAAGTATTCAAATTCTGATTAATACTTGATGGAATCAATTTAAACTTGATAAATCACTTTTCAAGAAAACCTGGTATTTATTGTCCTTTCACTTTATATCCAACAACGGCATCAAACTTAATATTGAGCCTTTGTCTTAAAAGTGCCAGGAAACGTTCAGGAAAGATCCTGGAAGAAAAAGAGACATAAAAATTAGGAAATTATTATCAAATGCATTTGCTGTATTTTTTGGGGGTGTGGGGGTACCAGGAATCGAACTTAGGACCTTGCCTTTGCCAGGCAAGTGCTGTGCCGCTGAGCTATATCCCCAGCTCAAAGTGCATTTGTAAAGTGTCTTCTTTTAAAATACTGATGTTTAATTTATCGTGTAGCATGCATTCGAGACAGGATTAAGAACTTTAACTTGGAGTTTCTACTATGTACGCTTGCCCATTAAATTCATACTCTTTCCAAAAGGAAAAGGAAGGAGGTCTTATTTTCTTGAGGATAGGTAATGGTCTGAATATCTTTTGAAACATATACATTTGAAATAAATACACTCTTACATGTTTCAAAAGATCAGAGAGAAGGATCCGAGTAGCTGAGATCCCTACTAAAGAGAAACTTGGCATTGAAGAGAAAGGGAATCCAGGGGTCAAAATGATACTTTACGATTCATGTCATCTAAGTAATCTGCTGAGAGACGGGGAAGTAGAACTGCTTCGTAAAAATGCAAACAATACCCTTAGTTTTGAGCATAATGCTCAGCAAACTAATTGCCCTTTGAATTTAACCTTCTCACATGTAAATGGAAAAATTAATGCCTGTCCATAAGTGCTCCCAGGATAGCTGCTGTGTTAAGAAAATGTCTCAAACTGTGATGGACAAGCTGGGCATGGTGGTGCACATCTGTTATCCCAGCACTGGGGAGGCTGAGGCAGGAAGATCACCGAGAGTTTGAGCCTAGGTTACATAGTGAGTTCAAGGCCAGCCTGAACTGCACAGAGGGATCCTGTCTCAAGAAAACCAAAGGTAAATAAAAAATAAAATAAAAATAAATTCACGATGGACACATAGATGGCCTCATCTTTTTTTCTCCCAACATCTACTTAAGAATATTAGGAGCTTGTGACATTCCAATGGTACTGAGAGAAACAAAACAGAATATGTGAATCACTGCATAGAGATGAGCCGGCCAGTAAGCACTAAAGCGAGGTTTAGATGTCGGGCACCTGTCTCAGTTACTTTTCTCGCTGCTGAGACAAAATACCTGACACCCAAAGTTAAAGGAGGAAAGATTTATTTAGCTCAGTTTGTAAAGGTTATGGTGCACAGCTGGTTGGCTCCAAGGCAGGGTGGCATGGTGAGGGGCATGGCAGAGGAGAAACAGCCCATGGAAAGCAGGCAGGCAGGAACAAGCAAGGAACAACCACTGTGCCTTCTATCTTACCCAGGCTACTTAAGGCGGGTGGCACTCACACCCTTAATCAGGGTGCCCTTGAGTCTAGCACAGCACCATGAATCAACTCCAGCATCACACGCTCTAGATCCAGTCACCTCGGAAAAAGCCCGACCTATATACCCAGATAGGTTTTGGGCGCGCATCCAGACACAAGCCATCACAACACCCAACCTCTGACTAGAGCGACAAAAAGGCAATGGCAATGTGATGGTCGTAACAATCACAGCAAGTAGTGCTCTAGACCACTCATCGAGTAATCACAATCTGTTGAGTACTCCGGATTCATTATTCTACATGTGCCTCTCATCCTGATCCAGTCCATTTTACAGATAAAGAAACTGAGCTTTGAAGTTCAATGAACTCATCTATGTTCACACTGTGAGCGAGTCACACAGATGGCTTCCACCACCTCCAGAGCACCACGACACACACCTGCGTGTCTACATTAAATGTCTAAGTATTAGGATTAACTTATTCAATCAGTGAACATTTTGGTGACCCTCTCCCCCCCGCCACATCAGCTACTCTTCAAAGTTTGTGGCATGCAGCAATGAAAAACTCACAAAATGTTTTTCTCACAGAGCTGCCTTACAAGGACCCATCATCACTGAGTACTGCTAAGAAGTCACAGGGTTTTTTTTTTTCACTCTTTTCTCACAAAAGAAGACCCTGAAGCTTTATTACTGTTATGGTTGTGTCTGGATATCCCCCAAAGCCTCATGTGGTCATGGGGTCAGGCTTTTCAGAGGCAGCTGAATCTAAAAATTTGTGATGGATTTATTGTGTAGTGTTACAACTGGGGGTGTGACTGCTACATCCACCCTAGGGCAGATAGCCTGCAAACAATATAAGGGAGGAAAAGAGGCTTGTTCCTCCCTTTTTGCTCCTTTTTTTTTTTTCCTTTCTTTTTGGGACAGGGTTTCACTAAGAAGCTCAGCCTGGCCTTGAACTCACTTTGTAGCCCTGCTGGCCTCGTTACAGCGATCCTCCTGCCTCAGCCTCTCGAGTACTGGGATTACAGGTGTGCGCCACCATATCCAGCTCTCTTTTTGCTCTTGTTGCTTATGCTATCTTCCACCACCATGGACTATTGCTCCTCTGCTGTGCCACCCTGCCTCAGAGCCAGCTGATACGGACTAAAACCTCTACAAGCTGTAGCTAAATAAACCTTTCTCCCTTTAACTTTGGGTGCTGGAGAGAAAACGAGAGAAAAGTAACTAAGACATGTACCAAAGTGCCCAGGCTATGTTTGACCATGGTCTGTTTCTAGCACAGGGGCTGGAATGTTTAATACATGTCATATTTTGGATGTCTTGAAATCTTTAGTCTTTAGATCAGCAGGTGGCAGGTACCCATCATAACACGGATTTGCGTCCCAACTCAAATGTTCCATATTAAAATCACTGCAAGTGAAATCTGGGGACCTATTTTAAAGTAGGTTTCCCACGCTCCTAATCCCTACCTACTTGGAGTAGCCTGGGTCTAGGTACAGGAGCAAGAGATTTTTTCCCTTAGAGACCGAAGGATCTCTCCCTGTCTCGTATTCGCCACCCAGCACGTCTGTTGAGCCGTCCTAAACCGGGGGTTTCCAGTCTTGGCAATACGTTAGAAGTAGCGACGAAGTTGCAGCATCACCCCAAGCCCAGGCTGTCGTGTGTGCAAGTGAATCAGAGTCCTGGCAGACGGGATCAGGCACCGATAGTTTTAAAATCTCCCAGGTAAACTCCGTGGTACACTGACACTGAGTCCTATTGACATTTTCATCTGCATGCAGACTGCCTGGTGATCTTCCTGAAATGCCCATTCTCCCTCCAGAGAGTCTGTATGGCTAAACAATTCCTGGGGAGACCATGCTGCTAGTCTAGAGATGGCACTGGAAGAAGTCAGGCGCAAGGATCTCTGTTGTCATAAAAGGTTCTTCAGCGTCTCCTTTGGTACGACTTTCCTAAGTAAAAGGTCAGTGCGGTCCGTGAATGCAGATCGAAAGCCTCACCATGGAATACTCTCCTCTCACTGTCCTGATTTTATTTTATTTTGTTTTGTTTTTTGTTTTTTTTCCAGTACCGGGAATCGAACTCACGACCTCACGCTTGTCAGGCAAGCGCTGTGCCGCTGAGCTAAATCCCCAGCCCCATGTCCTGATTTTAATATGGGAAAGTACTTTAAAAGGATCCTGCTTCAGAGTCAATCATTTATAAGATGAGACTTCCAGAAATATACAAAATTTCTTTCTTTAAGAGAAAAGTAACAACTTACAAATGTGTGGAAATGGTTTGCCTCATTTATCCAATAGCAATACCAATCTTACTTCAATGATTAACACGTGTGGTTTTAAAATCAGTGGCATCTGTGAGCCTATTCTTTTCATTACCTCCGTTCCCTTTAATTGCATGTTATCAACTGTCCAATTTTAAATGAATACAAATATGCAATAGGTAAATGCCCATTTCTAATTGTGACCAATGTACCTTACCTTTCCACCACTGTTAAGAAGCGGATATTAGATGGGACAAAAATCATCTTCTGATCTGTCAGGATGCCGTTCATCAGCTTGTTGACCACTTCCTCAGGCTCCAGGGTAGGTCCCAAGCTGAAACCAGAGGCAGGTGTCAGATGCAAAACATCTCTGCTGTGTGTGACACAGCAGAGCAGGTAAAATGACCACAAAGACCCTGACAGAGCTGACCTGTTGAGGTCGGCCCACCAGGCCCATCAGCGTGCTCACAAATGGGGAGCTACTGTACCATCAGTAGCCATAGCAACCATTTATTTACTGTTTACTGGGCCCCACACACTGTGCTAACCCTTCTGCTCAGGCTATGACATTTTATAATAACCTAAGAAGGCAACATTATAATCCTAATATTACAAATAAGGATCTATGGAAGTAAGCAGGATTCCAAAGTAATTTAGCTAGATTGGGACCAACAAACTCACTCTCAAACCTTTAGCACTCTTAGAAAGGAAGCCAGAGCCAGTATATAAGGCTTATTATCATCACTGAACAAAGCCTAAAGTGTTGTCAGAATTAAAATATGATAGATGTGTCCCTCGCTCGAGGTCCTGGTGTCCCCATGGACACTTTATGAGGTCCTGATTTACTTTTTAGCCTTGTGACTTAGTTCTGTACCACACCTTTGCTGGGTCACTGCCCAGGTCTATGACCATCGACCAGCTAAACAGCAGTAGGTAAAAGTGATTTGTAAAAGTCTGGGTGTTACAGTAAGTGCATTTAGAAAAGAGCTGCATAAGAGCTGATCCTCAGAGGGTTTTGTTTGTTTGTTTGGTTGGTTTTTTTGAGACAGTCTCACTATGTAGTCCAGGCTGGCCATAAACTCACTATGTAGCCGAGGCTGGTCTTGAGCTTGAGGCACTCATCCTGCCTCAGCCTCCTGAGTGCTAGCATTATAGGCATGGGCCACCACACTTGGCTGGTCCTCTGTTTTTAACTAGTTTATCAACCATTTAGGAAGCAACTCTCCTTAAAGCATTTTATGAGGTCAGAATTACCCTGATACTGAAATCAAACTAAGACTCTCCAAGAAGAGCACAGACCAAAACCTCCATTGAATACAAATGCAAAAATCCTCAGGAAAATACTAGTAAATTAAACCTAGTGTTATGTTGTGTACACCGCAACCAAGTGAGGTTTATCCCAGGAATAAAGTGCATTCGTCATACCAAAACAACCCACATAATAGATCATTTTAATAAAATGAAGGAAAACCCTACACAACCATTTCAGTAGGCGCAAAGAGTTTGACAAAACCCAACATGATAAAAACACTCAAACTGGGGATAAAAGGCAACATCCTCAACTTGATTTGTGTAAGCCTCTAAGGCAGACTGATGTGTACAAGCAGAGTGGAGTAAGGCTTATTGTAGGATTTATCAAACATGGAAAATAGTTGCCAGCCTCTCTAGTAAGCAAAATACTCCATTAACATAACATACAAATTCCCGTTCCTCATTACTTCCTGGCCATGAGATGAGTTCTGTTCCAGGGATTCCACCTGCCCTGTCACAGGCCCCAAAGCACATAGATCATGGAAACCTCCAAAACTGTGATTCAAAATAAACCTTACCCATGGGACATAACACTGGGTTTAAAAAAAAAATCCTATTTTTTTTTACTATAAATTTGTACTTTAACATAATAGCAGCTGGCTGTGTGTCACAGTAGCTGTACTTAGGCGGTACAGGAAACCACCTTTTTGTTTACCTATTTGGTATGATGAAATGAAAAGTGTGTGCACATGTGCCAAAGTGTCAAACTCGGATTTTTACCCACATTTATGCTCCGTCTAACAGGTTTTGCATACGTTTACCTGAGCATTATGGAGGTAAAATACACCCCTACCATTCTTTTACTATGTAAACATGAACTTAACTATAGTGGAATGTGGGTTTATTTTGATTTTTCTGATAGAAGTAGCCCAATTCAGTACAATGGCACATGAAAAAGATTTCCAAGTTTTGGAGGAGCTCAAAAGTGCATCATCAGATCACTCATGCATGGAAAATGAAGATGATAATAACTTTGATGTTGGTCATATGAGCCAAAGTTCCTGTGACAGTAAAATGGAGCAAGAATTGACCAATACAGACACAGGGAATGCAGACCTCCTTGATTCTCATGAAGAAGAAAATAGTAACGTGAGTACACAGTTTACTGGTCAAAATGGTCATGCAGCCAAATGAAATGACCCAATGTTAGAACTAGGTCCGAAAATATAGTGAGGCTCTTGGCAGGGATAAAACCTATTCGACGAAATGCCAGTACTGCCATTCTGTGTTGGAAAATGTTTGTAACAGATAAAATGGTACAAGATGTTGTGAAATATACAAAATGCTGAAGTACAAATAAAATGTTCTACATGCACCAATATTCATACTCAAAAATGTAGCTGACCTGAAAGCATTCATAGGTCTGTCGTACTTAGCAGGGCTTTTTCATGGTAATCAGAGGAATGTAAAAGACTTATGGAAAAGCAGTGGGTGTGGGCTTGAGGTTTGTGGAATAATTATGCTGAAGACATTTGGTTTTCTTCAAATTTGCATGAGGTTTGAAGACAAAAGTACCCCACAAGAAAAAAAAAAACAATTAATAATCTGGCTGATATTCATCACTGTTGGAGAGATTTGTGGGTCATTGTTAAACAATCTACACATCATCTGAATACATGACTACTGATGAACATTTTGCAGCGTTTCATGGTTGCTGCAGCTTCAGACAGTATATTCCCAAAAAACCTTCAAAATATGGCATAAAAATTTATGTCCTTATAAATGTGAAGACTAATTATACTTTCTTTCTTCTTCTTTTTTTTTGTCTTTTTTTGAGTCAGGATCTCACTATGCAGTTCAGGCCAGTCTTGAGCTCACTCTGTAGCCCAGGCTGGTCTCAAACTCAAAACGATTCTCCTGCCTCAGCCTCCTGAGTGCTGGGATTACAGGCCTGTACCGCCACGCCTAGCTATTTTTTGTCTTTTTGAGACAGGGTTTCACTATGCATTTCAGGCTGGCCTTGAACTCACTTTGTAGCCCACACTGGCCTCAAACTCACTGCAATCCTTCTGCTTCAGCCTCCCCGATGCTGGGATTACAAGTGTGTGCCACTACACCCAATTTATCATGCTTTCAATTTAGAAATGCATCCTAGGACTCTGCCACCAGGTCCTTATTCATAAACCAAATGATGTTGTGAACAAACTTGTTGTTTCTACCTCTCAAACTAATTGGAATGTGACATCTGATGATTGTTTTATCAATTTCCAATTGATGTCACATTTGGTAACAGAGCACAAATTGACCAGAATAGGAATTTTACACAGAAACAAAGCAGAAATTCCCAATAAAATGTAATTTTTTTTTTTGTCTTTTTGAGACGGTGTCTCGCTATGCAGTTCGGACTGGCCTTGAGCTCACTTTGCAGCCCAGGCTGGTCTCAAACTCACAGCAATCCTCCTGCCTCAGCCTCCCAAGTGCTGGGATTACAGGCGTGCACCACCATGCCCAGCAAAATGTTGTCATTTCAAACCACAGAATTGTACGGTACAATGTTTGGATTTCAGAAAGCTGTGACACTGGCTTCATATAGGGCAAAGAAAAACAAACTGGTACTGCTGATGTCAACATTTCACCATGATAGAAGTACTGGTAGGGAAACCTCAACAAAATGGAAGCCTGAGATGGAAAACTTTTTACAACAAAACCGAAGGTAGAGTAGATGCTGCTGCTGAGTTATGCAGCAACTATGATGTCACTAGAAACACAAAGTACTGATCAATGGCTGTGTTTTACTCAATCCTAAACACGTACGGCATAAATAATTTTATAGTTTACGAAGAAAATGACAAATGCAAAGTATCACAGAGTAATTTTCTTAGAGGATTTGGACTGGAACTTGTTAAGAGATCCTTTACAGCAGAGGGAAAACAAATTGTTTCTGCTGAGCAAATTACACAAAAAACACACCCATGAGCTGACAGGTGAACGGCAGACGCAGCATCACAAAGACCCACTAGGGCAACAGGAAAATGAAAAAGATATTCACTGTGCCCTACAAGAAAGCACAGGACAACAAAACATACGTGCTATCAGTGTAAGTGATATTGTGTATGGAGCATGCAGGTGTCACGTGTGAGGACTGCCTTGGGTGTGACAGTTGAAGGAAAGCTTAACACTGTGGTACACTTTTGTTTGTGTTTACACTATAGTTCACATAGGTTTCTATTTCTGATGTTATTTTTAGGTTTTGTAAGCAAGTAAACGGCTGATATGAAAATGTTAATGTCTATTCTAAGCATGCCTTATATATTTGATGTTTTATTGGTATCTTATTTTCCTGCTAAGTGCACACTGAACTATAAAGTAGGAAGCTTCTGACAAAACAGGAGAGAAGAAAGGTGTCAAGACTTCCACATAGGAAGGGAAAGCTAAGCACATGTGCTGTGAGTGTAAGCAAGGTGTGCGCATGGAACATGCAGTTGTCATGTGCGAAGACTGCCTTGGATGTGGCAATGGAAGCAAAGATGATTTTTGTGGTAGAGTTCTGTCGCTATTTTCACTGTAGTGCACAGAGGAATTTATTTTTGATGTTATCCTTTAGGTTTTGTAAGCAAGTACAAATGTTGTAATTTTTTTTACATAGATGTAAAGTACATAGATGATGTGAAAATGTTGATGTGTATTCTAAATTGCAACGCATATTAGGAACTTAATACTTTATGTTCTTGTTACACATTGTATAATATAATAAGAACCTCCTGACCTCTCCTCCTAAAAAAAAGAACCTCCTGACAAAACAGCAAGACCAACAAAATGTCAAGTATGTCCTAAAAAAAAGGCCAGGAAAGCAAAAGATGTGCTGTCCAGTGTAAGCAACGCATGTGTATGGCGTGTGCTGTAGTCATATGTGAAGACTGTCTTAATTGAAGTAAAGACTTTTTGTGGAGTATTATTGGTACTTTCATTGTAACTCACAGAGGAGTTTATTTTCTGTTGTTATTTATTAGACTTTGTACACCAAAAAAGTCACTGAAAACTTCGACACTTTTTAGAAACACTTAATATTAAAAATTCAATACT